AATCTTAAACAAAAAAAAAAGATACCTTTATTAACTCCTTAAACCTGAGTGGACATTGGCAGCATCTGGCTGAAAAAACATGATTTACTCATCCGACAGTAACAGTGTCTGATAACATTTATGTCTCTTTGACTGAAAGCAAATCAAAACCATGTTATTATCCACCTTCTATAAATAGACTTGAAGTTCTGTGAAACGTTGTTTGTTTTGAAACAAATTTTCGATCAATAAGTTATGTTTGATGCCAAGTTTTCATTTTTTTTCTTGTGACATCTAACAGTTTGTGTACATTAATTGGAAAGAAGCCACCGAAACATTTTACTGCTGAGCAAGCAATGAATCTGTTCAATCAGATAGATGAAAGAGGGAGTGAAGATGATGGTAATTCTGATCTTGAATTTGGCTTTGGAAGAAACTCTAGTGAGGAAAGTGACTTGGAACTGTCATTGAGATCCAGTTCCAATGCTTTTCAGTCAGCTGATCAGAGGGAGGCATCACACCAACCAGGATCTAGTGGTACAAAGAGGCGACGAAAGTAAGCCCCAGCTAGACCTGATCCACTTCCTAGATTTATATTCACTACCAGAGCCAAAGATAATGATTGAGCTGAAGTAGCTAGATCTGCAAGACAGATCAGCCACAAGCAATGACTTTGAGTTTTGCCAAAGAACAGGTGAGATCCTGGTGTACATGCTGACATCAATGATAAGTCAGTGCCCCTTAGCTGTTTTAGGGCTCTGTTTATAGAAGATGTAAGCAATGCTCTCATCATTGCTATCATTGAGCATGCCAAAAATGCTTGCTCAAAGATGGTCAAGGTATTTGAACTAGACTCCTTTTATTATGGTACTATGAGCTGCTGAACTTTCTAGCAATGACAACATAAATGGGCATTGACAAATGACCTAGCATTTGAGACTACTTTGCCACCAACCAGTCTCTCTACACACCCTTCTATCATTCAACAGAGTGAGGCTAAATGTGAGTACCCTGGATGCTGAGGGGAAAAACAAAATTAAGAAAATTGAAATTATATAAGATATGGTAATAATTATTAGGAAATCATGAAAATAATTCCAGTAGAATGTGCAAAAAATTATGGGTTTAAAGAGTTAAGCTTTAAGCAATCTCCAGTCATGTGACTTCTGTGTTTCATACTGTACATATATTTCTCTATTTAGATAAACTACTTGTGCCTGATTGTGACAAAACCTTCTTTCAACTTTGTACGTTTGTTAATGTGTTGAGCTCGTAATGAAGTTTTCATTGTTACCCATTCAACTCATCTCTAAACTATATAAAATTATCTTCTCGGAAGAAAATTTCTGTAGCTATCAAACAGATATAATTTAACACAAACACTTTCATAATTCACAAAGGAAGGGAACGCATAAAGAAACTATATATAAAAACTCTAAGGCCTGTATATTTCCTCTGTTTTTATGTTGTAGCCTAATTCTTGATTTATTTATTCATATTTAAACTTACTTTATAGCTGTTGCATTAGTAAATGTTCAAACCACTTTATGTGGCACCATAACAAGATTTCAATCAAGGCTTTGTACAAATACTGAGGAAAACACTTTAAATTCAAAAAAATGATAATATATTCTTAAGGTGTGAAAGGTTCTTAGAAGAAATAGTTATTCTTTAAGACGGGTAGAAAAAATGTAAAAAACTGGCAAGTGGGTGTTTTGTTTCCTGACAAAACTATTTGCAGCTGTACATAAATGAAAATCTGAACTTATTAATGAACTTCTTGATTTATACAAACAAGTGCCACAAAATGACAAAATATCGATTTGAAGTATTTTTGAGTTAAAATAGTTGAAGTATAGTCAGAATTAACATATAAAATTGATTTTAGAATTTGTCTGAAAAATTGTATCAAGTGGCAAAAAGATATGAAAACCCAAAGGAAACCATCTTTTCAGAATTTAGAGTTAAATTACTTTTTGACTTCTAAATGTTTTACATGAAAATGTATCATACACACAACTGAATTTTTTAACATTTAGAAACAGTAAAATATTTATTCACTTAACAATCACCTGTTGCAAAAATACTGTGCACATTTCCAGATTAGTTATTCCAGACAATTCATTATTGTTTGACATTTTCTGTGTTTATGACAATGTTGGAGTCTTAGATGTTGTATTTATGTCTGTGAAGTTACTCAAATGCTTTGTAACCAATCTTGAAAAATTAGTATACTCATAACTTATTTCATCCATTAGGCAAACACATGTTTACCCAAAGTAACAATCTAGTATTTTTGAATATTCTTCAAGTAGCCTAAATTTAAATTCAAACAAGTAACAATGTTCAATTCTCTACACTAGCTGCAGAAATGTTTCCTTTTTTACAATGATAGTACGATAACACTTAACTTTTTAGTGTTAGCTGTGTAATACTGTAACCAAGTTTTCAGTATTTTTGACACAAAAGAAGATAATAATAGAGTAATTTGGATTAATCAATGTTGACCATTTAGTCCTAAAGCAACCTAAATACGTGAAAGATAAAATAATGTTAACAATAATGTATTCAGTAAATGATTTACCCTTTCAGGTTTATGATGCAGCAATTTCAAAGCTTATATCTTTATTTCTAGTAGTTATAATTTGATTGATTTGAAATATATATTTATGCGTTTGTGTGTTGGT